TACTTTTTTTTTGCTATAATCGCCGACGAACACCACTAGCATCCGCCACCATCAACACAAGACTTCTTTCAACATCTAACTATATTATTGTGTTTTAATTGTCTTCTTGTGATTACCAGACTTCTATAATCCATATAAGAGAAATTAGACAATTGTACTATAATTACGCCCATCTTCTTCAATTGTTAGGAAGAGATAATTCTTATATCTTCTATTTGATAGTCGATTATTATGACTGCGCCAAACCTTGTGTTTTTTTTTCTTTATTGGGTTTCCACAAAAAATTTCTCGTCTTCTATAATTTATTCTGTGCATGTTGGATTTTTGTCAAAAGCTAAGAAATAAAATACTTACTTATCTCTTGTCACAAATTTTCTAGCATGTAACACACATGATTGTGTGCTAGAAATTCGTGATTTTAAAAATTGACCTCTGGTATTAGAATTCGAAAAAAACAAATAAAAAAGGATAAAATAGCATATACATAAGGCATTCAAAAAATTTTACATGGGAAAAAAATATCAAGTAAGATGATGAATCGAAACATATTAACTAGCTAGTATGAGTTTGAAATTACAAAATTTTATCATTCTCTATGGGGATAGTTGTAATAGTCCAATATTTATAAATTGATTTAATATGAAGAAAATTTCATTGAGTGGCACTGCAGCATTGGGTTTGTGTACACTGCGACATTGAGTTCTTTGGGTTTTTAGGGAAATAAATGAACGTAGTGGCACTAGGGCCTTGGCCAGCACAACAATGGTCTGAAAGTTTATTTTTTTAAAATAAAATATCTAAAATCATTTACTTAAATCCCTCTCTAAGCCACCCCCCTTCCCCATTTTCGTAACTTGCTTAGGAGAGAAAGGAAGAGAGGGGAGAGAGAAAGTGGGGATGAGGATGATATTTTTATCTCTCTAACTTAGAAAAGTGCTCCGATTGTCATAGATTAACTAATTCATGTAGGATTGAGTTATGTTACCCTGTATAAAAGGGTGGATTGATGAGTTTTCTTTTAAATAAAATTTATGGTGTAATCCTAAGCAATACGAAAGTGGAGTTATATGAAAATTAAATAATATAATATAATTCAATGACGAGTAAGAAGTGATGACTTCTTACATGAAAGTCAGTTGACTTATGATATGTGATATGAGAGTAATTTTTAGAAATAGGACTAGTGTAATTAAAAATTATTAATGTAGGATTGACTTATAGGACTAGATACAATAAAGATACTAGAGATAGTAGTATATCCTATATTGATTGTATATACATATATATAACATGATAAATTGCATAAATGTCATGATATAATATGATATTCATATGATATAAGACATCAGGGATATATGTATATGAAAAGATTTATACATGAGCATACAATATATGAATTATATGATATATTGCATTGTATAGCATTTATTAGTGATATAATACAAAAGATACATATCTTGATATTGTACTATATGCATATGATATATTGCATGGTGCTGGTTCACTAGAGCTTCATTATATTTATTGTTTGACAATATTATTTTTCTGGGCAATGATGTGGCGCGGGCTCACTAATTCGAAGCCGAGGCTCATTCGGGATGGATACTTGGTCAGATTCTGCTCTCTGATCCAAACTGGATGGTCTATGCCTCCTCATTGGTCAATTTTTTTTTTTTTTTTTTTTTCAAATTTTGTTACACATGAGATCTAATAATATAGGAAATCTATTTAAATGAAAACTAAAATGATCTTACAATGTGATGTTGATCATCGTACAACACCTTATTGCTTATGAATAAAGTTTGATCCACACTTAAAATTTTGATCTTAGTCAAAATTTGAGAGAGAGAAAGAGAGTTTTTAGTATATTTTCAAATATTTTTTCGTCAGTCTCCTATTCAAAATTAATTCTCTGATTGGTATGCTTTGATTTCTTTAAGTAAAATAATTAAGAAGTTACTAAAAAATATTAATTTGCTTCTAAAAAAAGATTAGCCATTTAATATATAATAATGAGTTTGAATCTTACGCCTATATTGTGTGTGTGAATTTGTCTTAATTGACTTAAATGTCTAAAAAAATAAATATTAATATACTGAATTATTATAATCCATATATAGTATATAATCATAAATAAATATTAATATGAGCATTTAAATTGAAACTAATAAATTTCTTTTGATTCATAAATAAATATTAATATGAGCATTTAAATTGAAACTAATAATCACTAATAAATATTAAATAAAATAACTTATTTGTAGCAGCTATTAATGATGCAAATGTAATAAAATTTGGGTGAATATCATTTACTTAGTGATTTAACACGACAGTATCATAAATTCATGAATCAATATTTAATTTTCAGTCAAGACGACTTTTCGGGCTAGAGGGAAGAAAAATCAAAACGTGAAATAGAGTATTTTACAAAAATTGAAATTATAAGAATAATATATTGAAAGCTTTTAAATATAACAAATACGAATATTATAATATTATATATAAGTTTATATTTGCAAAATAAGGCTCATATAATGGAATTAAAATTAAGAGTCACATTTACAAATTTTTAATGAGTATATATTTAAGATATACGCTCAATAATATTCATTCTCAACTATTATGAGTGACGTTGATATTTTTCCAAAAAAAATTAATAATAAGCTTTAAATTATTTAAATATGTTAAAAAATATTGTTTATTATATTTTAGTCAATATAATTAACTCTGTTGGAGTTGCCTTGAGTTTGGCTCATCCCTTATTTATTTATGTCTTTGACCATCACATGCTTCATAGATTTGTCGAAGGTTCAAGGGGACAACGCCCCCTGGTGGGGTTTGACCTGCCTTGTCAGGTCACGAGGTCAAGGAGGAACACCCTTGCGAGGATTTTTGGGTGCACGCCCCTGGAACAAATTTTGGTGCGCTGTAAGAGTATTTTTGGAATTCCGCTTGCTTTTCAGTACTTTATATTTGCCCTATAAATATGTTGTAAATGACTTAGGGTTTATAAGTCATTTTGTACTCTGCCTCTTCTCTATACTGAAGCCGTTCTCCTTCTCCCCCATGATTTTTCCCAGATTTGAATTTTCTATCTAAATTTCTTGTGTTCATTTGTGTTTTGCATATCATGATTTATTATTTCTCTTTTATTTGGTTCATCGTTCCCGAACAAACTTAAATAATTTAAACTTTAATTTGAGCATATAGATGCAGTTGATTAGAACATGAGCTACAAGACTATTGAACTTATATTGATCATCTTGAGCTCCAAATTTTCTTGACAGAGATAGTCTTCTTGTCCTGAAATTACTCCGTGAAAGAATATTATATTCACTAATTATATATTTGTCATCATCAAAATTATGGAGTTAATATTGAAGTCTTATTTTATTTCTTCATATGAAATTTTTATTTGAAAGCTTTTTCTTATCTTTCTATACAGGTACACACACATTCAATGCTCTTATGATGGCAGTGGAGAATATTGTAAAATAGTGAAAAGGCAATGGGCATTGGTGTGGGTCGATGATGAGTGACAACATACAAGTGAGGGTAGAAACTAACACCGATCAACATTGATGGATGACGAGTTTGCACAACAAAATGAAAGTGATGATATCATTTTTGGTGTCAACTGATGTTTGATGCAGCCTATGATGAGAATTGAAGGTGATCGACAAACAATATCATGACAGTTAACAAATAATAATAGTATTGTTGACAGTGCATCTCGGTGGTCTATGTTAGGCACTGTGACGATTAATGTGGATGGTGCCACTTACGAGTTACGATCAATGATGGTTGTTGTTTTGGTAAGCAAAATCTTGTAATTCTAGCTGTCCTAAAATTCTCTCACCTAAAAATCATGCTTAAATATATTAAAACCCATTAAATTTATAATTTTTTGAGCGTTTAATTTGATTATTTTGTTTCATCTGAATTACAAGATTTTTAGCTCATTCAGTTCATTTAAACGAGAAGTTCATTTTGACTATAATAATACAAAAAATGGAGGTCTTATCTCAAGAATTTTCTTATTATCCTTTTAAATGTTTGATTTAAATACATTTACATTGAGTTAAGATGTTTTAGTTTCATTAGTTTTGTCTTGTCGTGAAGCTCATTCTAACTACAAAAATACAGAAAATAAAGTTTAGATAATTTCAAAGTTAGCATTAAAATTTTTGGATTTAAATTTTCTATGTTTTGAGATTTAAAAATTACATATAAATAAATAAATTATTTTTTTTAAAGTTTTGTATCAAATTTTTATATTTCATATTCAAGATCTAGGCTTCATTTGGGACAACTTTTATAATGCTTTCTAAAACATTTCTTGGTAAAAAATTTTTTTGAATTGAAAATTTTTGTACTAAATTTTTATTTAGAAAACAGTTAAAAAGTTATTCCAGACCGGCGAACGAACGAGAAATTTGACTTAGGACAATCTTAATAGTAATCAAAGAGCAAATCGTCTGATCAGCTCTTGACATATGGAACCAATATCAAACATTTCATGATTGGAATTTAAAACCTTCATATTACAATACAAAAAAAATGACTTCTTCCCTGTCGGAGTTAATGAGATCTATACGTCTATGATGCATTGCAAAGATATGTAAAATGCAATCGTCACCATGAAAATTTTGTCATGAATCTGACAATTGGATATCTGGAAGAGTTCTGAATTCCATCTGGTTCATAGCTGTTATGTTTATAGATTTTGATTATTATAATTGAATCACCATGAAAAATAGTCAGCCAGTACTAATTTAGTCATATTTTCACAAGGCTGGGTTGAACGCCGGCCGGAGCGGGTGGATTTGGTCGCCTCTTTAGGCCGCTCGGGTTAACGAAGTGGGCCGGGTCGCCGACCAAGTACTCAATGTGGTTTGTAATTAGACCGGACGTGTTAACCGGAGATGTTCGCACGTGCGAAGAAACCGCCTGTAAACCTAACCTTTACTCCTCTTTTTTTTTTGTGTCCAGTCGTGATATCCGGACGCCCACTCTTATAAGAAAAAGAATCACCGTCTCATTCCTCCTCTCCTCTCGTGTTCTGCCCGCGGACTCTTCTCTCTCTCTCCTTCTCACGCTCTCTCCTGCGAATCCAGGAGTCAAAAGGCAAGCCACGGAAAGGTGATACCGAAAAGATAGGGGGGAGAGAGAGAGAAGGAGAGAGAGTGAAGGAGGGAGAGAGAGAGAGGGTGAGGGTGAAAGGAGGGATGGAGGAAGCCAAGAGAGTGATTCGGGAAAGAGAACTGTTATAGAGAGGCCGAGAGGGTGGCGTTTTTATACCGCCGAATGGTTCCTTAACTGACGAGACTAATCAAAATCCCATCTTGCGCACCGCGCTTCTCCTTTGCGTGATTCATACGGTATATCACCGCCTCCCTCTCTCCATCTCTCTGGCCTGGTCAGTTGGTTGCCGGTTATCAGGCATCCAGGCACGAGGTAAGTCCAAGGTTTGTCTGTCTTTTTTGCTTCTTTGTGGTATCGGCAAGGTGGGATGGGAGGCGAGTCGGCATTACAGGGGGCCGCCGGCGCTCCGGCTTCTTATTGGTTCGACGCCTTGGAGGACGTAGACGCCCTCTCCGGCATCGAATTCGCCGAATTTGATCCTTCCGTGCTGCCCTTCTCGCTCGATCAGCACGCACCGGAAGATGGCTTCATTATGGAGATTGACCGGATCCTGGAGAGCATCAATGGAGATCAGCCCGTCACTCTGCCACCTCGGGAAGCCACCGTGCAGTCTCTAATGCCTTCTTCAGTGCCTGCAGACATCCCCGTGGACGGTTGGAAGTCGGAGGATCGAGCAGGTTTGGGGGGAAACGGCTCAGCCTTGGTGAAAAGGGAGCCAGGGGCACGGCTGGATCTCAATGATGGGAATGTGGTTAATGGCGACGGTAGATATGGGAAGAGAGCTCGTGAAGCCAGTTTTCGAGCGGAGGAGAGGAGCTACCCAGCTGGCCGACACGACCGGTACAGGGAATTGCCGCTAGGCAGGCGTTGGTTCCGCGACAGGGATGATAGGAAGCGGCGGGAGGGTGAGCGTGGAAGAAAAAGGGACCGGGATGGGGGAGAGTTCAGGGATAGGGAGAGGATGGAGAGGCCGAGCAAAGGTTACTGGGAGAGGGACCATCGGTCCGGTAGAATTGTCTTTAGGGTTGGCTCTTGGGAGGCAGAAGCCAACCGGGAGACGAAAAAGGCCAAGTATGACAGTGTGGAGCATGTTAGGGGGAGCCCTGAGAAGAGGGACGAGGAGAAGGAAAAGCCGGCTGAGGAACAAGCGAGGCAGTATCAGCTTGAAGTTCTTGAACAGGCGAAGAAGAAAAACACCATTGCTTTCCTCGAGACTGGAGCAGGGAAGACCCTGATTGCGGTTCTACTCATGAAGAGTTTGTGCGCTGAGATGATGAAGGAGAACAAGAAAATGCTGGCAATCTTCCTAGTGCCCAAGGTTCCTCTTGTTTACCAGGTACAGGATAATCTTTTTTTCTCAGAAATCTTGTTGATTTGAATTTTAATATAGCTTGCATTCTGTGGAAAATGATTGCAGCAAGCGGAGGTGATTCGAAAGAGGACTAGATTTAGTGTTGGGCATTACTGTGGGGAGATGGGACAAGACTTCTGGGATGCTCGGAAATGGCACCGCGAGTTTGAATCAATGCAGGTGCATCTCTGCTATTGGTTCTGTGAAGTCTTAGTTTTAATTGCATTGTTAATTAAATGCTTATAGATGCTATTCTATCAATCTTTGCAATTCATACACTATGTTTTTACTTTGCAAGTAAACTTTACTATGTTTCTATTTTACAGAAATTAAGAAAATGTCTAGTTTCGAGCAGTTTTCATGCAGCAGTGATTTTTGGGGGAATGAGCAACCAAAAAAAGTTTTCTTTGCTTTCTATAGAATTTTGTTTTCTTCATTAAAGTGCCGTTTTTTATGGTATTTCATACATTACATTGATGTTGGCATGATAATATAAATGTTGGAATGCAGTCATATCTGCTACTGGCCATTTTCATAGGCTCTATTTGACATTGTTGTGTTGTTGAGCAAAAAGGATAATTGGCTGATAAGATTAAGGCTTTAGTTGGGACAACTTTCTTATTGCTTTCTGAATTAGCTTTCTAGTTCAATAAAAAGCTGCATTAGAAAGCTGTCCCAAACGAATGCCTAATTGTCTAAGGTGTTGTAAGAATTATGACAGTTTGGTAAAAAATTGTTGCGACATTGACATGATTGATTGAAATTTATATTATTATGAATTTTATATCATTGTAATAAGATAAAGTAATCTTAATTAGAACCTAATTTGTTAAATTTATTTATTTATTAAATAGAACAACTAAAATTCATAAAACCACTTTTTCTGGGAAGCTACCTACTTTTGAACAGTGGAAAGCTTGTTCTCACATGAGATAAGAGGAGTTTAGTTGTTTAGGATTTAGAGAAAATAGATTACGAGAAAGAATTGTACTAGAGGCAATCTATAGAGTTGTAGAACAATAACACAATTAGAGGAGTAGATAAAGAGATTGAAGTGGTTTGATTTTGTGACTTTCCTCCATTGTGTAAGGAACCAAAAGAAAGTATTCATTATGTAAAAAGAAAATATACAAGATATCATCTCTCTTTAAATACAAAGGCTCACAAAGATTGTATGCATGATTGAAATTTATTATTATTTTTATTGCAATTAAGTGATGTAGATGTAGGTGTTGGTATCTTTTGAGAGACTTAACTACTGATATTTATCCTGTTCATATTCTATATGTAATGTCTTCTGTTAGTAATTTCTCAACATCTTTGGTTATATTAAAGACTGATCTTTAATATTTTCCTTTGAGGATTTGTAATGAGTGAGTCATACCTGAATGACTTTATGTTTTGAATAGGATTCTCAAGTGGGATTTCTTGAGAATAATCCCAATAGCTTTGCCTGAAAGAAGAAGTTGAAATCGAAATCTCTCACTAGGAATTAATCCTTTAGTGACATCTTATTGTCCCACTTGTAAGGCTGGACTTTTTTTTTTTTTGATATTTATGTCGATTATTAGTTTTGGACTTTAAGTATTAGATTTAAACGAGAATTTGGCTTTTAATAGGACTCAATGGAGAAAAAGGATTCATGTAGCCGACCCCACGTAGTGGGATAAAGGCTTGATGTTGTTGTTGTTGTTGTTGTATGAGATTTTTTTTTAATATTTATGAGAATTTTGATGATTGCACTTTTGTAATTATAGGGTTTCAGCATATGATTTTTAGTCCTTGAAATATCTTATTTCTTTTACTTTCATAAAGAAAGTTTTGTATATTCTTCAGTATAATAAAGCCCTTAAAGTATCTCTTTTCCAAAATTTTGATCATGTGGCTTGTAAGAGGCCACAATAGAATGATGATGAGACTGTTGATAATGCTCGCAAGTCAATGATTGATTTTTATTTTGCGACTAGCATTGCAGATGTTCCAGTTGAAGGCGTCTAAGGCCAACAAGGAATGATTGTATTGGCTTCAGTAAATTTGGAATAAAAAAGCCTTGAACCTCTAGGTCCTAATTCCTAAAAATGCTTTGAGGTTAGGGTTTCGGAGGAACTTGTTTAGGAAGACATTTTTTTTTGGATTTTCCCTCTTTGAATGAGGACCCTTTCACTTATGTGTTTGAACCATCTATGAAAGAGGGCGGTGATGAGGTTTTAGATGAGAAAGGTGAATAGAACATTGTTGCTGCTCTTCCATTTGAAGCAGCAGAAGTAGAAGCTCTATTGGAGAGGCATTCTATTGAATTTAACAACCTTTTTTAGTTCAAAAAGCTTGTTGAGCATATCATTTTAATTAATTTGAATGAGGTTGCATTTTTCTATCTCTAGCATGGGAGATTGAATATTCTACTGTCTTTGACTCATTCAGTTCCTCCTATCACAACTAGTAATGATATCAGTTATAGGGTGGATGAATAAGACAAGGAATTGGATTTCCAAAGTAATAAATTGATCACTTTGGATATGAGATTAGATTAGATATCTCAGAATCTCATTTTGAAGATTTCGGGAAGGGACTATTTGTAGCCAAGAACCAAACTAAATTATCTGGATAGATATTTTGATGATTATATAAGGAGACTAAACCATTTTGAAAACAAGCTTTAGTTGATGAATTTGTAGTAGTCTGAATTCTAGAGTAGAATGAAAACTTCTACTTGGAGATGGGCATATACATTATGGCATATCTCGACTTTCATTCGTGAGGTCTTTTTGGAATCTAACATTCTAGTTTTCTGCCTTAATAGGCTTTAAGATATAAAAATGATGGTGACCAAATACAATATTCTTATCAAGGCAAGAGCTTGAAATGAAACATTTGTCTTTTATGGCCAAAGAGAGATAGTGAAGGTGGTTTAGGAGGAAGATATTCTTGTTGGCCAAGAGATCCTAAGGAACCTAACCTATGTTAAAAAGCATGAGATCCATGGAAATAGATATCAAAATCCCTTGTGGGAGGTAGGTGGTGTCTTCTAGGATTAATTCTTGAATTAACTCCCATAATCGGAGAAATCGGTCTTCTTGAGTTTCTTCACAGGTTGAGAAAAAATATTGCTATTGTTGTTTTTGGTATTAGTCTTTCTCTTTTTGGGGTATGACAAGCCTTGATTAAAAAAATGTTCAATGTGATTGCTTCGAGGCATGCCTCATTATGAGGCACCCAATAAGTAGTTTCAAAGAAAAAACAAAAGAGTAGTTTGAGACTTGTGATTTTTTGGCATGAGGTTTGTGCCTTTTTCATTTGAGTCATACTGCTTTAGACTATCTGCCTTGCGGCGCATGAGAGAAATGCCTTAAATTAATCTTTTCTTGAAAAAGGCATACATTCAAAGCTTTTAGGCTTAGGGTTTAAATCAATTCGAAGATAGAAGTTTAAAGTTTTTTATTTTATTTAATTTTTTATTTTTAGCTGTATTTTATTTTATTTTTACCAATATTTTGAATTTTATTTTATTTAGTTTATTTCATTTCTTTTTATTTTCTTTTAATTTTTTTTTTCAATGGATTTAATTAGATTTTTTAATTTTTTTTAGTTTCATATATATATATATATATATATATATATATATATATATATATATCCAATTTTTAACTATTTTTTGATATCTTTTAAGTGATTTTTCTATTCATTTTGTTTTAATTAGTTTGCTTTATTTTATTTTAGGTTTTGGGTTTTTAATTTTCCTTTTAACTATTTATATATGATTTATTGCATATTTATAAAATTTATTTTATATAAGAGTTGTTTTTATTCTTAGTTTGGGGTTTACGCTTTGTTTTGCATTGCCTCAATAAGACAGAAAAACTCAGTTGCTGATTTTACTTTTTTTTAGGGTATTTAGACACTCACACAAATTCTTTGTAATGTTTAGGGGTGTCAATTTTTGACATGACTCGAAACACGACCCGAACCCAACCCGGAAAAATCCGGGTTAGGGTCAACCCGGACCCGAAACGGGTCGGGTTTGTGTTCAACAAATCAACCCGTTTTAAAAATCGGGTCTGGTTCGGGTTGACCCAGCAACCCGAAAATGGCCCGAAATTGGCACGAAAACTCATATTTGACCCGAAAACCTAAGATTGACCCATTTTTTACCCGATTTTGACCCAAAAATCGAATATTGTCCTGATTTTGACCAAAACATTAGCAATTTTAGATCAACTTCGGGTCATTCGTGTCGGGTCGGGTTGACCCGGACCCGAATCGGGTCGGGTTCGGGTCGTGAAACCTGACCCGTTTTTAAAAATGGGTCTCAGGTTGACCAAAACAGTGCCGGGTCAGTTCCGCGTTTGACCCGAACCCGACCCGCTGACCCGAATTGACACCCCTAGTAATGTTTGTATTTTGCAGCTTTTCTTAATAATTGTCCATGCTATTTGGAGGATTTTTGCCACCTAGAACTAAGCTCCTCGTTTAGTCCAAGATGAAAACAATTTTAGCGAGGGACTTATCATTATCTGTGATCTTATGAGAGGCCTTATTGAACCTGGCTATATAATGTATCATGCCCTCATCTTCTTTCTGCTTGATAATGGAAGAGCAACCTAGATATTTTCAACAGCCTCATCCATGTTTAGAATTTTATCTAAAATAAGTAAGAAGAGGGTTGGTTATTAACCACCTTTTTACATAACCCTAAATATAGTGGCAATTATTTTGCATTTGATAGTGTTTGAGATAGTTTAAAGAGAACATTCTTAAACATATCTAAGTGATTAATGGGGTCAATGTTACCCTTATAAATCTTGTGCATAGGAGTGGCCTTAAACTTTTAACGGAACCAACTCCTTTAAAACTTTAGAAGTAAAATGATAGTTGTGCATAAAACTTGTAAAATGAGTGAATGGAGTAGAAGTACCATTATAAACCAAATCTTTTATCATTATGATAGATTTGAGATGGTTGAACACAAGGAGCGGGTTGATGACTTGAGGTAACATTGATCTTCTTGGTGATTACAAGCAAAAGCAATTGCTGATGTATCTAATTGAATTGTATTTCAATTTTTTGGTAAAAAGTGTTACTATTTGATAGTTTTCCAAAGTAATGTTCAAAGAATAGAATGCCAATTTAAGTACAAAACTTTGGGTCTGGCTAAATTTATAAGAGATGCTATTTAAACATATGAACTCATTATCAAACATTATTAAAATTGACATACCATACTCAATATTATTAATATTTCGATCTTTTTTTAAATTCAAATGTAAATAAAAAGAAAAGGCTTACAATATAGCTATTTGCTTAATATAAACCTCTATTATACTTGCACCTTATTAATAAGTCACACATAAACGTTGATTGAGTTATTGAATAAGTTGCTAAATCACCGATTTCGTTGGTCACCCTTTTAAGAATCATTACAAAAGGACAAGTCGTAACCATTTTAGCCTAGTTGTCCAATTGAGATCTAGTTTGTTTTCAAGTCGAGAATATTCCTTGCATTGCAAAGCTTCCAAATAGATGCATTTTCAACCTTGATTGTACATCACTAACTCCCACAACACTCAAGTTTTCACCATTAGTAAGATAAATCTTTTTGCAATCTTTTGCAGAGTAGTTAATACTAAACTCTTTGTATGGAGTAAAATGATATGACATATACTGAACTTTCCACATTAAGGATCAATGATTCATGAATATTTTTACATGCATTATTCATATATGACTCCATCTATTTTGGACCATATCCATCATTGCCCTATGGATAATTTTGTTTTATGTGGGCAATCATTTTACATGATTAACATGTGCTCTATGAGCTCAGAATTGACCTCTTTGTTAATAATAGAAACCATGCCTTCCTTGATGATTACTTCTATTTTGAGGCAATCATTTTAGTTATTAACATTTAGTTATTACATGCAACACTTGCAATTTCTGTCATGCTCTTCTTCATCGTTTGATGGATTCATCGTCTCCATTGCTTTTGTTTCTCTCATGTCAATCTTGTTAGTTATTCACTTGGTTGTGCGTTGGTTTCTTATGAGACTCTTGAGTACTCAAGCTGCATTTGTGGGCTCTTGCATGATTTGGGAATTTCAACATGATGAAGATTACCTCTCTTGGAAACTTTGATACTTCACAAGTCTATTTGTCTGACATGGTTTTTAATAAATAATTCTAGTTTATTCATCATTTTCTTTAGTCCCTCTTTGGTATTAATCATTTTCAATTCCCTCTTGCATTCAAGATTTAGAAATTGATGTCATGTGATTGAGGATCAGGATGAAGTTTCTATCAAGCCTTTTTATAATATGGATAATAGTGATGTAAACATAAGAGGATAAATAAATCTTCTTTAAATCTAGATAAATGGATTTGATTGGTTTGAAGGAAAAAGCTAGATCTAATTGCAATCTTCTTAATTTTGGATACATGATCATGTTCAAACCTACGGGTAAAATCTGAATGAATTGATGGCAATGATCAAGAACTAAGAGATTAGCATCCAATTCTCCTAGGCCTCATTTGGTAGTGTAGTCTACAACTTTATTTTATTCTGCTTTTTTGTCAAGTGAATGATTGTTTGGTAAAATTATTATTGTTTGCTTTCTAAATTGTTTTGATAGATTAACTTGTTTTATAAAAACAATAATGAAAAATTGAATCGGTTAAATGATAAAAATATACATAGATTTTTATTAGTAAATAAAATTAACTATATCTATCTTAAAAATAATTAATAAAATTAAAAATTAAAAATTATGCTGTTATGAATAAAATTAAAATTAGAATACTAATTATAATTATATAATGATTCGCATACTAATAATAAGTAATTTTATTACTGAACAAGGAAACATTATAGCATTTATCCATCAAAAGCACCTAAAATTTAAATTTAAATTAAAATTCATAAAATAATTTTTGCGGTAATATCAAAATCTTTTATAGTTACTTATATAAAAAAAAAATTATAGTTGTTTTGAATAAAATCATATTTTTTTTAAAAAACATGTTTTCTTAGCTTTTTAGTAACCCTCATTTTTCAGCTTTTGTAGTGTTGAACTTTTCCACAAATTAATTGATTTAACTTTGTCAAATGCCTAAAAATTAATTCTATTGTATTAGAATGTCTAATTAACAAAAATACTGCCAAACAATGCCTTAAAAAGACCAAAGATTTACGCTTTAGAAATCTAGGCTGTTCATGGTGGAATTTTGCTTCCAAATCACAACCCAAAATGAGAGAATGAACAATCCACATTTTTTTTAATTAGAATTAGTATTAAAGGTTGATCATGAAGGCTTAAAGACTCTTGCCTTGGATATAGTGCTCATGAAGGGAGATGCCACTTGATATGTGAGACAATGATAACAGGGTGACCCAATTTCTAAGAGATAGAGAGGAAAAGAAAGGGGGTGATTGGGTGGATATGAAATATTAGAGATCATTATGATTGATTCTCTAGATTCTACTTTGATTATTGGCCTAAGAGAGAGAGAGTGTGTGTGAGTAGAGTGAGGGAGAGGTCTTGTGATAGAGAGTGGGTAGGAGAGAAGAGATTGAGTATCAACTAAGAGAGAAAGTGTCAATGATACGCCAGGGTGCCCACAATGTGGTGCCCGTGGGAGCTATTATTCATTATGTAAGCAGGAGGAATTAAGAAGAAGTTATTTAGGAAAGTTTTAATTAAAATTGAGAGGGAACTATTTAAGGAAAGTTCCAATTTGAATTCAATTCTAAGAGGGATTTAATTATGGAACGGGGGCTGATTTGGGAAGGAATTAATTAAAGTAACGTGGGCTGATTTGATTTGGGTGGGGGGGGGGTGGTGTGGTGGGTGGAATCAGCCCTTTTTCCTTAATTAATTCACCCCCAAATCAACCCCCATTCCTTAATTAATTCCCACCCCCTCAAATCAGCTACCTTTCCTTAATAAATTTTGTCCCAAATCGGCCCTCTTTCTTTAATTCATTTTCACCAAAATCAGCCCAACTTCCTTAATAAATTCCCTCCCAAATCAGCCCCATATTTCTTAATTAATTTCCACCCAAATAAGCCCATTTCCTTAATTAAATCACTCCCAAATCAGCCCCCTTTCCTTAATTAAATCCCTCTCAGATTTGAATTCAAATTGCATCTTTCCCTAGATAATTATCTCCCAATTTTAATTAAAAAATCTCCTAAATAACTTCCCATTGATTCCTCTTTATATAATGAATAATAGCTCTCCCGGGCCCCGCAAGGGGGAATCAACCCTCTTTTACTTAATTAATACACTCCCAAATCAGCCCCCATTCCTTAATTAATTCACACTCAAATCAGCACCCATTCCTTAATTAATTCACACTCAAATCAGCACCCATTCCTTAATTAATTCCCACCCCCTAAAATCAGCCACCTTTCCTTAATTAATTCTCTCCCAAATCAGCCATCTTTCCTTAATTAATTTTCCCCCAAATCAGCCCCACTTCCTTAATTAATTCCCTCCCAAATCAGCCCCCCATTTCCTTAATTAATTCCCTCCCTAATCAGCCCCTTTTCCTTAATTAAATCACTCCAAAATCAGCCCCATTTCATTAATTAAATCCCTCTTAGATTTGAATTCAAATTGAATCTTTTCCCTTAGATAATTCTCTTCCAATTTTATTTAAAAATTTCCTAAATAACTTCCCATTGATTCCTCCTTCTTATATAATGAATAATAGCTCCCCTGGGCCACACAAGGTGGGCCTCCCTGGCACATTAATACTCCCCCTGAAAGAGCGCACCTTGTCCTTAAGGTGGAAGGATGTGGCGCTGGTCATGGCTTTCTTCAGTTGATCGAAGGCCTGTGTTGTTGCTTCCCTCCAGTTAAAACTATCTTTTTTTAGTTGCTCGGTCAGTGGCCATGCTATCGTATACTAGAATCAAGCTAGGGTTTTTACCTCTAGACATAGCCCTACAACCGTAACCATATCCTCATTCAATCCATTCACTGTGAAGCCTCCACCTGGTACACCCCCCTATATCATTATCCGCTTCAAATATTGGCATTCTCAACTTCCTCAACTTAGGATCGCCATCGCCCCAATAGCTTCTTAATTTTGGAAACATGATCATGTTCAAACCTACAGGTAAAATCTGAATGCATTGAGGCATCTTGTGCCACTCTTTTGTTTGATGATGTACTTGATATGACTCCTTTGATGATTTGGTCACTATACTTGATGTGGGTTCCTTTTTGAATGGTTGTAGGTCTATTTGAGTCCATAAATCTTTTGTAGCTCGCTTATTGGATTAGGTTTTGGACCATTTGTTCTGAACCATCCATTGATTAATCTAGCAGCATGGCAAGGTGATTAACTCGAAACTATGTACTGACAGCCTCTTGGTTAACATTATATCTTCAATTCTTGCTATTGTGTGATGTAAGTTCTCACTGCTAAATTAATACATTGACTGCATACAAAAAATTCTGATGTCTTCTTTAACGTTCTCCTCTTCAATGACTTCTAGATGCTTGTTTTATTTTTTATGAATGAATATAGATTTGTGTTAAGCATAGTTGAAATGCTATTTCGATAGTTTATTTCTACATAGATGCTTGATAGTCATAGTAAATTTCTTTTTTCTTAGAATTTAGTATAAACTTATTACTTTTTGTATACTGCTGTTAACCATTAGGAACTATATTACTTGAAGGGGACAATTTGAAAAAGGTCTTTTCATGTTTCCATGTATGGACTTGATAAAATAATTATTGCTTATTTGCTTCCATTGAGTCTTCAACCGTTTGCTACTTTTCTTTATAAAGTGCTTTGCATATTTCTACTTGTGATTATTGTTTCAATTACAAGTGTAAGATTTTTCTATTTAATGAAGAACTCTTGTATAACCGAAGGAACATGCTATTGGTAATTAGTTTTCTCATGAACACTTTATTTCTGGCATGCACTAACACCTGAAGAATCAATTTGATGAATGCTTTTGCTGCAGGTTCTTGTTATGACTGCTCAAATTTTGTTAAACATTCTCAGGCATAGTATAATAAAAATGGATTCCATACATCTTCTTATTCTTGATGAGTGCCACCACGCAGTTAAAAAACATCCATATTCGTTGGTAATGTCAGAGTTTTATCATACAACTCCAAAGGAGAAAAGGCCAGCTGTTTTTGGTATGACAGCATCTCCAGTCAACTTGAAGGGTAGGGTGCCTCTTTAGCTAGTTTGTCATGCATTAGCTATTTGGTTTTATCCATTCTTTTAGGCTTTGTTGCTGCTTCTTAAAGTAGCTTTCTAGTTCAACAATTAATTTTTTTTTTTACTAAAAAGCTGTTTTAAGAAGAAGCAATAAGAAAGCCGTCCCAAATGAAGCCTTAGTTTGCGCTTGTGTTACCTAGTGCTGTGCTTTTTCTGGAATCACCAATTCGGGTGTGATTTTCTCTGCAGGAGTCTCTAGCCAAGAAGATTGTGCTATCAAGATTCGAAATCTTGAAAGCAAACTGGACTCCATAGTTTGTACTGTCAAAGATCGCAGGGAACTAGAAAAGCATGTCCCTACGCCATTGGAAACTGTTGTGCATTATGACAAAGCAGCTAGCTTGTGGTCTTTTCATGAGCAGATAAAACTTATGGAAGCTGCTGTAGAAGAAGCTGCACGTTCCAGTTCTAGAAGAAGCAAATGGCAATTTATGGGAGCCAGGGATGCTGGATCCAAAGAAGAACTCCGTCTTGTTTATGGTGTTTCTGAAAGAACTGAAAGTGACGGTGCTGCTAATCTAATTCAAAAATTGAGGGCCATCAACTATGCATTGGCCGAACTTGGCCAGTGGTGTGCTTACAAGGTAATGGATGTTGAAAGTTCTATTCTTAGAACTAAATTCTATGTTAATATCTGCCTTTTCAGGTTGCACATTCATTTTTAACTGCTTTGCAAAATGATGAGAGGGCGAATTACCAGCTTGATGTGAAGTTTCAAGAATCTTATCTGAAAAAAGTTGTTACTTTATTGCAATGCCAGTTATCTGAGGGCGCCGTAATTAATGATTGTAATAATCCTACAATTATAAACAATACAGATGTACATTCTGTTGATGACATTGAAGAGGGAGAGCTGCTAAATAGTCATGGTTAGTTCGGTTCATGGCCTTCTTTTGTTCAGTTCATGTTGAGCTTATTTGTAAAATTTAATCATTTTATGAGATTGCATGTTATTTTTAACAATCTCATTACTGAGCTGATTGCTTCCGATAAAAACTTCAAGCATAGTCAACCATCTCATACAGATTTAGAGTGTGCAAAATGTTGGTTTTGCTTTATAATTTTAAAATTTTAGGTTTGGAGCCATTTTGACTGACCATTTTACTGACTTTAAGAAGTGCAGATCTTCTTCATGTAAAGACTTGACAGAATTAGTTACCTTTGACTGTAGCTATATAAATGCAGTTTCATGTAGTAGAAGCATGAGTAGATCTTTGTTGGTAAGATTATAACTAGTACAATAATCTCTAGCATGGTTCATTTGGCTTAAACTTTTGCTGCGGTTTGATATTTGATACAGATGGATTTTAAGTATTCTTCCAATTAAAAATGCTTACAATTGCAAGGTCGAACTTATTAACTCTGGTTTTCCATGTACTTTATGCTTCCAGCTGTCTCTGGTGGTGAACATGTCGATAACATTATAGGAGCTGCTGTTGCAGATGGCAAAGTTACTCCTAAGGTTCAGGCATTAATTAAAATACTTCTCAAGTATCAGCAGACTGAAGATTTTCGTGCTATTATCTTTGTGGAGCGTGTTGTTGCTGCACTTGTTCTTCCAAAAGTAACTAATGTTGTCTATTCTAGCTGCAGAACTCACTTCTATAAATTTGTCAGGCCAATTTATCTTGTTATGTACAATGCAGGTGTTATTGGAGCTTCCATCTCTAAGTTTCATAAGATGTGCCAGCTTGATAGGGCACAACAATAATCAAGAAATGCGGACATGCCAAATGCAGGACACAATTTCAAAGTTTCGTGATGGTCGAGTATGTATATTGATGCTTTATATTTAGAACATAGGGCTTTTTTTGCACTTTATTCTTCCCTTCTTTTTTTTTTTTTTTAATTTTTCTTGTTCTATAGCATCTTATGAGCTCTTAATTTCTTGCGATTCATTCTCGTTAGAATGTAATGATGGTTTTTTCTTACTACAATGCTGCAGGTTTTTGAAGTAACAAAGGAATTATTATTATTAATGTTTTTTCATATGACATGTTGATGTAGAACTAGATATGCAGGTGACAGTGAATTATAAATTCCTCATACTTTAACAGAGCTTACAAGTTATTAATTCACAATGAAATTAAGTAATGACTTCATCATGCAAGAGGGTAATCAAGTTTAAGCATTCAATCACAAGCTAATAGGAGGACCAATAGATAATCAAATAAGTTAATATCATTCTCACGTGATGTTTCAGAAACAATCCCCAAATTAACAAAGAGATTAGTCACTACAAAGACCTACTCACACGACACTCTTGGTATGGGCTACACAGATAAGTTTTCACAATAAAACGATGCCACAATTGAGGAGGAATCAAAAGATGTGTTGGGGGGGGGGGAGTTTATCCGTAAGGACGAAGATACTAAGCCATGACGATGTTATATGGTTGTCTCGATGGGAAGGACAGCAATACGAATCCCTTTCACACGCTTGGACAACGTTCTGTTGTCGCTGGAAATTTGGACAGCAGCTATGTGGTTGCCGAACTCAGGATCAACGGGTATTGGACTTGGAAAATGGCCGAATTTGTGTATCACCAGTTGATAGTTGTCCTTGGGATGACTCAGAAGAGAAATAACAAGCAATTGATAGCAGGGAAATAGCAACAATCATCATTAGATGGCATCCAAAACAATGGGACATCAAATAGCATAAACCTGGGTTCAAGATTTATGTCCAAAAGTTTTGTATAATTCTGGTAAGGATCAATGAGAATAGGGGAGGGGGGACAACATATTGGCTAATGAAATAGGATTTAATTTAGATTTACAATAAATGCTTAGATTTGCGAATGGGGATATCCTTCCAAATATAGCTCAATAATTTAGGAACACAATTCAAAACTTTTAGGAGAATTCAAATTTGAGCCTTGAATTCCTTACCTAAATTGTTGGATTATTTTTGGAAAGGTATCCCCATCAATAAATCTGAAATTTAAATGAAGAATTCTTATTAAGTCTCCTTTCTAAATTATGCTAGGCTAATTTAGAACTCAAATTTGAATTCAAATTTCCTAAAGTTAAGCTAGGCTAATTTAGGAAATGGAGGATCAATTTGGAGAGAGAGTGGGGAGAAAAGGTCATGAAAGTTTCGGCCATTAGCAAAGGGGAGACAGCGGTCAGGAAGAGAGGAAAGGGTTGTGGTGTATCGGCTAGGGAGAGTTATGGGTGATGATTCGGTTGGGGTTGGATGTGAGGATGATGAGCCTAATGGGCCAAGGGGGGGGGGGGGGGAGATGGCGATGTCGATAAACTTTGAGCCCGGATGCTTCCTGCGGCTGATGAGTCTTGCTTTGCCCTCACTTAGAGACTTCACATGAGCTCTCACAAAAAATCTTAAACGTACAAAAACATAAAGTGCAGAAATTTTCATTTGTCATCATCATCATCCTCCCAAGGGGGAGGCGAGGCTTATAAATAGACAAAATACAATAAAACATCAAATGACAAAAGTGCCCCTTGAGATCACATATACTTACTCCTGTACTCCCTCAAGCGAGAGTAAAAGTGAAAGAATACACATAATAAATCAAATACAAATAAATGCTCAAAAATAGAGTAATTTGATCGTAGCCGTATTTCTCCAGCCCTTCCTCTTATAAACTTTCCATGGTCTGATTATAACACCCCACAATACCCTTAATAGTACTGTAGAGTGTAACATACATAACATACTATTTTTCCTTTCTCATAACATTTAATACAATTTTTTTTTTCACATTAGAAATTCATATAAAACATCCAACCATTTTTCAATTGATACATCAATGGAAGTAACAAATAAATTAAAACTTCAATAAACATACTTACCAAGCCACTAAGAAAATCCAAATAAAATCTATTTCGAAAATGTTTTCATACCTCAAAAGAAGCTCCCTAACTAAGATAACCTTAACATAAAAGAACAAATAACTTGCATAAATTAATTTGCCACAATCTTCTTCTTTTCCTTTCCTGTAACAATAGTTAATAAGAAAATACTGGTGAGCTATGAGTCTCAATAAATTATACAAATTAATTACAAAAATACAATAATAGGAATAAATCAAAATATCGAAATCATCACTGAAAATATCGTAAATCATAATTAAATTATTCTTTACTTCTTTTGAAGTTCACACTGAATATCAATTTTAATCTGTAAAAAATTTGGCTATACTTTTAATAGCATTATTCAATGGAGTTCAAGTAACCTGGTATTATCTTCATTGAAATACATATAGGTCCATTTTGCCTCTTTATGAGTCTATTTTGCCCCATCTGTTATGCATGTATCATATTTTCTGGGGTCTCTTTTGCCCCACCTGCAATGTAGTCTCACATATGAGAACCCTTTTATCCCACCTATACTTGTAAGTTATTCATCATTTATAATCAAACTTTACTTTTACATTGATATTCAATCAAATTTTACTTTTACGTTGATATTCAATAACTTTTCAGTGTTCATAAGTCATACGTAAGTTGTTGCATGCTTTCAAAATCATTTCTGTTATAATCGATATATAATTAAAATGCATACCATATGCAAGGAAATTAACATCTTTCTAAAATAGTATCAAATAGGAAAACATTTAGATTAACTTAAAAAAAAATCTTATTTTACACTTACCTGATTAAATTATATATATGGTTGTTTATACTAGGAGACTTAATGAAAAATCATTTCTATACATTAAACAAGTTTAAGAACATTTCACTTTAATGCATTCAAAATTAACCTTCATGATTATAATTGAAAGTCATTCTATTTGAATATGAATACATTACTTACCTCCTTGAATATTCATCTTTTCAACTCCATCTCGCACTCTTCTTCGATTGTAAGTAACCTACACAATTTTAATTCTCTCTAGGTTCCATAAATTATAATTCAAATAACTTTGTACAAAATTCATTTATACTAACATTACTATTTAACTCGTAACCTCCCCTTTGCATAGATCCTAAAGAATCTTCCTCATTTAATTCTCTCTAAATCTTTTTTCACCGATTTCTCAAATTGTTTGCAAACTATCTCAAACTACAATTGATGCGGACATCCGATGATGGATTATTAAGAAAAGAAATTTGTTTTGCACTTTTATTCTTTGGGAGGACGTTAGTGAGAATCCCTATGGAGGGAATCGTAATTTCCACCAGCCACAGGATGGGTCCTGGCTCGTGGCTTGAAGTCTCTTGGTGAAGGGTAACGCATCACCCGTCAGTCTTTGGAAGAGTCCAAGGCTCACGGTTTCCTAAACCGCCACCTCCTCAAGCCCTCCGCCAAGGTGCCCATTTTCTCATCCCATCACCTCTCCACCACAAGTTATCGTTTCTCCTCTCCACACCCCCACCCCAATCGCCGGCTAGCCCAATCCCAAAACCCACAGCCACCTAACCCTAGCACAAACCTCCAAATCGCCGGCCACACCACCCCCTCCCCTTGGATCTAAATTTTCATAGCCTTCATTACTTTCCTAAAATTAATCATGGTAAATTTGGGAAGAGAATCAATTCAATCAATTTCAAATTTGAATTCTTTCCAAATTTAACCTGAATTATATTTGGAAAGTTTCTAAATCAAGTCAATTTATTTTTGAATTTAAATTGAAAGAGATATGAGTAATAAATCCCCTTTAATTTAATTGATCTTATTTAGGAAACCATTTGAAATCTTCCCTACCTCTCTCATCCCATTAATTCTTCCCCATTGCTCCCAATTAAACCCCTTCCTAATTTAGCTCCCTTTAATTTTGGAAGCTATTTAAATTCATACTCATTTGAATTTGAATTTTACTTCCTAAATGAGAAAACCTATTTAAGGAAGCCCCCTCAAATCATGCTCATTTGACTTTTAATTAGGATTTAATTCAAAACCTTTCCTTAATTAAAATTCATATTTAGGAAAGTCTTTATTTCCTCAAATTAATGTCTCCATCTTTTTTCTTGGTCCCCCTCCGTTGTACATCAATTTGGTATCAGAGCATGGTAGCCTGGGATTCGAACTCGACGGAGTCGAGCTCTTTTCCACCCCGGGAGAATGATGCAGACATCCGATGATGGATGATATTCAAAGGAAGGGTCGAAGATCGACGGCAAAGATCACTTCGTTTTATTTTAGTTTATTAATTGTATTTTGATTTAATTTTGCATTTTTTTCTTTTTTACCCTTTTTATTTAAGAGTCTTGTCTTATGTAAGCCTAGGGGAAAAAATTGTCTTTTAATTTCTTTTGAGGTCTATATATAGAGGCCACTTCTCTTGTATTAGGGATGATGAAATTATAATAAAAATTTGTGTTATGCACTTGTGTTCTTTTTGGAGGACGTTTGTGAGATTCCTATGGGAATGAATTGGAGTTTTCACCAGCCGCATGATGTGTTCGGGCTTGTGGCTTGAAGTCCCTTGGAGAAGGGCAACGTATCACCCGTCACTTTAGTTTTCGGAAGAGTCCAAGGCTCGCGGTTTTGTCTTTTTTTTAACCTTTAATTATTCCCCTTTCTTATCTTAATAATTCAAGTTTGGAAATTCCTTAAGTCCACATTCATCGTATGTGGACACATTCAACGTATGTGGACGCCTTCCCTTTTTCCTCTCTTTTAGCCGACCCCTCCATTTTACATCTGATGTAGAACGGAGGGGGCCAAGAAAAAAGATGGGGACATTGATTTGAGGAATTAAAGACTTGCCCACATATGAATTTTAACTAAGGAAATGTTTTGAATTAAATCCTAATTAAAAGTCAAATGAGCATGATTTGAGGGGCCTTCCTTAAATAGG